TGGCAAGCCCTCAGTGGCTGCAACCACCCACAACAGTGCACCCTGAGGAAACTCAGGATGGGAAAGCCAGGACACTGGCTCTCGATGATAGCTAAGGTGCACATCAAAGAAATGATTTTCAGTGAGCCCTTGCTCTTGGATCTTCCCATATATAGAAAAGTGCTAAATTCCTTAAGATATCCAATTTTCTTTAATTCATCTTTTGATGTTCCCACTACCTTTAAGAACCCCTATATATTCTGGTCCTCCCTTCCCTCTTCAGAGCAGTACCTCAGAGTGATCTGAGAGGCTGTCTTTTAGGCTTGAAGTCCTCAGAAAACTGCTGAATAAAGCAAAATTCTCAACTTTCAGGCTGTACGTTTTTTGTTTTTTTTTCTTTTCAGTCAGCACAGTGTATTTATTTCAGGTCAACACTCTTTAACACTTTGTTAAATCTTAAATCTGTATTTCAAAATGGACAGATACTTCATATATATCCTTTTCATAATTATTTTCTTGATGTTTCAGACAACAATTCAAGCATTTGATATTTATTTTTGAACAAGAATTACAACTAATGCACTAAAAGAACACTAGCAGATACCTGTCATAGTTAATTTTATGTGTCAGCTTGACTGGCCAGGGTGCCAGATTAAATATTGTTTCTGGGTGTGTCTGTGAGGGTATTTCTAGATGAGATTAGTACTTGTATCAGTGTGGGTGGGCATCTTTTAATCTGTTGAGCGCCTGAAAAGAACAAAAGGCAGAGGAAAGATGAATTTGCCTCCGCCACCCCCCCCGCCCCCACCTCACTGAGCTGTTCTTATCTCATCTTCTCTTGACTTCAGACTGAGATTTATACTATTGGTGCCTCTGGTTTTCAAGCTTTTGAACTCAGACTCAATTAGACCATTGGTTTTCCTGGGTCTCCAGCTTGGGCAGATTGTGGGATTTCTCAGTTTCCATAAACATACGGGAATTCATCATAATTAAAAGAAAATTTGTATCTCCCTCCCTTCTTATCTGTCTCCTACTGATTCCATTTCTCTGGAACCCTAATACAGCTGACTCTTGAACAACACAGGTTTGAACTGCATAAGTGCATATGTGGATTTTTTTCAGTAAGTACATAGGTAGACAAGCTCTGCCTGAGGCCAGTGGATGGGCTCAGAGCTTACCAGGTCCACTGAGGCTGGGCTTGAGTCATCTGAGCATGGACCTCATGAGAGATGCACAACCTCTCATCACAATATTTTGTACCTTTCCTGGACACAATGCCAAGACAGGCAGAGATGTGGCCAGGTTCCAAATGAAGACAGCATCTCTTAACTCCCTGTATCCACTGTCCATATCCAAAATGATACTCCACCAAATTTTAAAAAAGATAAACACTGTTCAGTTTCTTTAGACTAAATCTGAGATGAAGAATTCTCTCCCCCTGGAGTTGACACTGCTGTGGTTTTCCTTAACCTAAGTCCCAGTTTTGATATAACTGGGGTTCCCAGGTGGTGCTGGTGGTAAAGAACCCACCTGCTAATGCAGGAGATAAAAGAGACCAGGTTCGATCCCTGGGTCAGGAAGATCCCCTGGAGGAGGGCATGGCAACCCACTCCAGTATTCTTGCCTGGAGAATCCCAAGGACACAGAAGCCTGGCAGACTACAGTCCTTAGGGTCACAAAGAGTCGGACACAACTGAAGCAGCTCAACATACGCACAGTATAATACAATGCAAGGTTAGTTGAACCTGTGAATTCAGAACCACAGAGGGACAAATGTAAAGTTATACTCAGATTTTCAACTGCATTGGGATACTCTTAATCCCTGTGTTGTTCACAGGTCAACTGTAAACATTCTCACAACTAATGTAAATACAGACTTTTATCTGGAACTTCCCTCAATACAACCTACCAAATACCAAAAGTAAATATATAATTTTGAAATATCCATTACTGCCATAATATAAAAAGTTGATATTTATTGTAAATTTACAAAATCCTTCATAAACAAACCATTATTTGATTAAACAAACAGTGGAAATTTTTGTTGGGAAATATAGTTTTTGTACATTAGTATCAGAGAAATTCACATAACTGTATTCAAACAAAAGATCAATTTAGGTTATTTTCAGACCATGACTACATAACTTACATTTAAAATACCACTGGTTCCCTCTGAACTGATATACTTCAGTGGTAAGTTCTCTAGTTCTGTTCAAAAAAATCACAGAAAACCAAACAAGAGCCAAACAATGAAGTTATATTTTGACATGGACTGCAGCTATTTAATTGTATTAATCTGAAGACTTATAAATAAATACACTGTTAGAGATTAGCACTGTGCAAGCTGTTAGCTATCAGTGTGAACCCTCCCTGCTTTTCTCTGGTTGCTCAGCATCATTTTAGTTCTGTCTCATTTATAAGCAGGTAAAGGCAAAAAAATGCCAAGTAAGTACAAAGAGAAGTAATTTTTTGCATAGTATTTAATTTTTTATTACCAGTTTCTAATGTTTTTTCTCATGAGTAGCTATTAACAGAACAGTGTGTTTCTTTTTATATTTCCAGGTAAAGCTTCAAGGAAACAGTAAGAACATCTCCTATTCAGTACTACTTCATTTGAAAAAGGCTTAAGTAAACACTAATTAAAATATTTGGGATCTTAGTTGTGTCAAACACTTCTCTAACTGAAGTCCTTAAAATAAAAAGATTTTTAAAATTTTATTTTATTTACCTAGGATTCTAAGACACACAAGAAACCAAGAAGTATACCCTTCCTTCAAATTATACACTACACACATATTAAAATTATTGAAAATTAAATAAAATAATTAGAAGTTTCATTAAATACATGACTACTTGTAATAAATTCAGGAATTGAAAGCATTACTAGAACACAAAAAAATTGCTAAAATAAAATTCTAGATTTTTTAAAAACAAAGTCTCTTACTTATCTAAAAGACAATGATATATTTACTTCATTCTTAACTATTCAAATGGTTGTATTTGCAGAGAATTTTTAGGGCAGTGACACTACTCTGTGTGACATTAGAGTGGTGGATACATGTAATCTGTGTATTTATCAAACTCAAAGAATGTACAACATAAAGAGTGAACCCTAAAATAAACTATGGACTTTGGGTGATGACATGTCAATGAAGGTTCAGTGATTTTAACAAATATACCACTACAGAGCAAGGTGTTGGTAGCAAGGAAGGCTGTGTAAATGTGGGGGTAGAGGGTATATGAGAACTCTCTGTACCTTCCTCTCAATTTTGTTGTGAATCTAAAACTGCTCTAAAAAATAAAGTCTATTTTTAAAAAGTTGTTTTAAATGACTGCCATCTGTCTCAAAGATGCAAAATACCTCCACTCAAGGTGGTTTCTCTTGAAAGTCCATATGAGTACTCACCAGTATGCCATTTTTCACAAATCTAAAAAAAACTATTTCAAAACGCAGAGTGTCAGAGAGTACCTGTCAACACCTCCAATATACCGTAACTCTAGAAGCAGAAGCAAAGGGCATGTCAACTCGGCATGTTTTGTAGCTTGAGGAGGTGGTACTCAGGAAAAGGGGAATTAGTGTTTATTTGGGAAATCTTAACTGATGCCGGGAAAGATTGAAGGTGGGAAGAGAAGGGGACGACAGAGGATGAGATGGTTGGATGGAATCACTGACTCAATGGACATGAGTTTGGGTAAACTCCGGGAGTTGGTGTTGGACAGGGAGGCCTGGCCTGCTGCAGTCCACGGGGTCGCAAAGAGTCGGACACAACAGAGCGACTGAACTGAACTGAACTGAATGAGATACACAGACCAAGAATCAGAATAAAAAGGGCATGCTTAAGTTACAGCAAAGTATACTTCTGACCTAAAATATCACTATTTATCTTTGGCATGTGTGGGACAAGGTAAGAGAAAAAAAAATGGAAGATGAATCACTTAGACTACCCATTAGCAAAAATAAAGTCATATTTTCCAAGATCAGGAATGGTGTTACTGATTTCTCCAAATGACTGTTTTTTTGATCACAGCTTGTCTGACCAACTAAACTGAAATTATCCCTACATATTGAGTTGTAGTGAGTACCGGAGAAAAACTGTAACAGAAAGTATGTATTTGCTACATAATGTTATCATGTATGGTCAGTTTTAAAGCATAGGAAAATATTCTAATGTTGTGGATTATAGAACAAGTAATTATATTTAAAAAACTAAAAACAAATAAGTGATTATCATAAAATATTGAATTTGTTATTTAAGCTCATTTAATTCTGCTAATTAGGATGGGCTATATGGATGATAACCTTAGAGAAAAATGTATGTACACTTGAATTTCCAATTAAACTTCAACCTTCTGTTGTTTTTGTTTATTCTACTCTCGCCAAAATGTAGTTTTCTATATCTGAGATTTCTTAGAGATAAATAGCTTATAAAGTCATAATGTGACAACTTATGGGTAAATAATGGTAAACATAGGCCACAAACTTTCCCCAAATAAGAAGAGTTGAAGTGGTTCAATTCATTTTTGCTTTCTGAGAGAAAATATGTAGCAAGGAGTTAAAAAGTTAAAACAGTAGAGTTAAGATATAGTCAATAATGACTAGCACTGAAACAGTGGCAGTCTTCTATATGTCCACTTGTACTAACAGAGACTTAATATACTAGATTTTTAATATCTATTAAAGCTTTAAAATACTCATAACCATTATATAGCAGTAACTATCTATGACTGATATTCCTACTGACTTTATAATTTATTTAATTGCCCTACCGTCTAAAACATTTCCTTTACTTTGGATATCTGATATAATTCATCCCATTTTTTACCAAGTTTAATTTTTCTATTAGATCCATTATATTACTATAATATGTAATTAATAATGTAATCCATAAATAAATTAACAAATGTACTGATTTGTCTCTTTAAATTGGTAGCAAATTAAAATCATAAGTCTTCGAAAAGAATGTCAAGTTCGTCACCAAATTAATGTGCGGCATCTTCAAGATGGATTTAATTTGTGCCACTTAATAACAACCTTTTCTGGATGTGTGACTGTCTCTTTCCACTGGCTCACTGCTTCAGTGTTATTACTGTCTTCACTTATCCAAATCTGTAAAGGAATAGTACAGTTATTTAACTTAACACAATAATAGTAACTGAGTTCATACAACTGATTATTATCACTAATGAAAGACAACTGGAAGTTTGGGTTACCTATTTTCAACTAAACATATTTCCATTTTTCAAAAAGTTTGTCTCTTTGAAACTTAAATTTTAAAATACTAACCTAGTCACTGAAGACTATTTTATATGACTCAATTCAATTTAAAAATTTAATGTGAGGTATTACAGAATCATTTCCTCCAAAACAGTTTTTAGTATCCTTTCTTAGGCAATTAACCTAGAAGCTCAACTTAAGACTGATCCCAACCACTTAAAAACATTTTTGTAAATACTAATTGAGACTAATTATAATTTAAATTGATTGGTGTGTGCTAAGTCGCTTCAGTCATATCCAACTCTTTGCAACCCTATGGATTGTAGCCCACCAGGCTCTTCTGTCCATGGGATTTTCCAGGCAAGAACACTGGAGTGGGTTGCCATGCCCTTCTCCAGGGGATCTTCCTGATCCAGAGATTGAACCAACATCTCTGACATCTCCTGCATTGGCAGGCAGTTTCTTCACCACTAGTGCCACCTGGGAAGCTGCAAATTGATTGGTAAGGAATGTGTATTTTAAGTACCTTTACATTAAATAAAACTGTAATTTTAATTGAAATCTAATAAATCTAAATGAAATCATTCTTGAGCCACAGTAAAAACTTTCAACGAACCTATCACTTATCTAACTTTAGATAACATATGTGAGTGACTTGGGAAAACTGTAAAGCATTATGCAAATACTTATATATCACATTATATGTTATGTATCATGGAGGCAAGGTGAACAAGGAAACAAACTTGAATTCTCAACTCAGCTATAGCACTAACAAATGATGTTACTTTGGAGTTAACTTCTTTGAAACTCGGTTTCTAATTCTTCTAAATAAATTTAAGATAAATCTTAAGATATATCTTATTTAAGATAAATAAGGCTCCCAGAGGAGCCAGAGGGAATAGATAACCAACAGGAACCTTTCCAGAGTTATTCTTAATTACACTCTCAACTGAGAAAGTGGAATCACCAAAAACATTATTCTGAAAATTATTTGTCAGGTAAATCTCCTATTTCATTCATACATGGTAGTTGAGACTTAATGATACAGGAAAACTTTACAGGTCCCATGACTTTGAAAAGTATGCTAGTTATACTAATTCTTGAGTTCCAACTCTTTTCCAAATAAGAATAAATGAAGAACAACAACAATGTAATATTTTTCACAAACATTTTAGGTAGAATAAATATATGAAGTTAGTTAATATCAATCTTTGAAAATTCACATATAATTTGATGATTCATATAAAGTGCTAATAACATCTTGCTGTCAAATAGAAGCTTTTAAAACTAATAATACAGATTTTGGAATTTATCTATTTATTTATTTTTTTAAAGTTTATTTGTTTGTTTGGCATGTGGGCTCTAGTTCCCAGACCAGGGATCGAACCTGGGCCCCCTACATTGGGAGCACAGAGTCTTAGCCACTGGACCACCAGGGAATCCCAGATTTTGGAATTTAAATGTGAGTCAAACTGTAATTAAGATAAAAAATAATATATGGCTAATACAATGTACTCAATAAGAGTAAAGAAAGAACTACAAAGGGAAACAAGTTCCATAGGATTGGCAAGTAAGCAAGTGTTATGCAGTCTTAGAAAAATTACTAAGAATTTTAAAATAGGTTAATCCAGATAACAATATTGACTAAATAATATCACAACCACTGTTAAGATCAATGTTTTCTAGGAATTCAGACTTACCACAATGGAGCTAATAGCATACAAACATTAAAATGAACATGACACAATAAAGGAAGCCTTAAGAAATCTGATTCAAATACGTAAGAGTCCTCTTTCACAAGGAATGGGTCAAGGAGAGTATTGAAAAACTGATCTTTCCTACCATTTTTAAAGTTGAAAATCTCAGGAAAAAAAACCTCATTTTAAAAATCCTGGTTGCTCATAAATTAAAACTACTTTTGTATTAAAGCCAAAAGTCTGACAAGATTTGATTTTTGCAGTAAATTTTTTTTCCTGCAAACTTTTTCACAGTAACTTTTTTTTTTTAGTTTTGCATTGAATTTAAATTTTGATGAAGAATTTCACTCTATTCAGCCTCAGTTTTATCCTGTATTCCCTTTGTTAACCAACTGTTTAAATGCTACAAAAGCGCAAGGAAAGAATATGAGATAAAACTGACTACTAACCTGTCCCACAAAGTGTCTTCTTCCTACAGAGCTTCGACTATAAAGCTTAATGAGAAAAATAATTTCTTTTTCACTCTGTATAAGTGGAAAAATCATAGTCTCTCCCCACTTTACTCTTCCATTGGAGGCCTTCAGTAAGCGTGTCTTCTTCTTATAAATCAACTCTCCTGAGCTAAACATTGCCACTTTCACAAAAAAACCTAAAGAATAAGAAATTTTGATAAATAAAATTTTAAATGTCATATAGATATAATCCATATATTTGTCATAAAATAACAGTAAGTACTTTTAAAGATCTGATGAACCACTGCCGTAAGAGAAAACTTCTCTAGTAAACTTACAATTACTATTGTAATTTACAAATAACTACTGTCACCTTAAATGAACCTAATCTTCCTCTACTGCCATTAAAGACTGGAACTGTGGGCATAAATAACGATCAGCATAGAAGAGCACACACTGAAAAGGATTATACGAAAGAGAAGCGCCAACTCTTTGCAGAGCTAAAGGAATTATTTCACCAAGTTATATAAGTAAAATTATTTGCTTGAGACTCCAGAAGTTAAACACCTGCCCACTAGAGAAAATCTATTCTTTAAGTAAATTTGAGATGCAGAGCCTCCAGTAATGGTAAAATAGCTTATACAAACTGACTTCTCACAGATGATTATAAACTGGGGAAAATATTAAAAACAATTGTTCAAGACACTAAACACAGACCAGAAACAGAGAAACTAGAGGGGTGTCACCTCTTAAAAGATGGGAAGCACACTAAGTAAAATTCGGGTTTATACAGCGTTCACCTAAGCCTGCCCCCCAATCTGACACACAGTGCTTACAGCTCAAGCAAAAAGTGCAGTCTGACTAATTTGAGAAGTGATGGTATAGAGATGGAGCTGCTAGACAACAAGGAAGTGAGGAGTTTCCAGAAAGGAGGCAGCCACAAAGTGAGACCTGAGGCTGACCAATATTTATAAAATGGAGATCACTGGTAATCCTGATTGCCATTAGCCATTTTTATTAAAGGAAGACACATGTTCATGTAATAAACTGCATTGTTTTTTCCTTGTTTCCTAGACTCAACCTTATATAGTCCTGGTAATTTAACTTATTCTTTTAATGCCAAGTTGGACTTCACTTATTTTTTATGATTTTTCCATTTACCTACATAAATAATGGTAGTCTATAGCTATTCTTTGTGTACACTATCCTTTCTGTTTCGATATCAAGAATATGCTAACCTCATAAACCTTCTTTTTCCATCTTTTTTTCATGCTGTGGAACAGCTCATATAGAAAAGGAATTATATGTTCCCTGAAAGTTTAGTAGAATCTGCCAGTAAAATCATCTTGGCCTCTGCTTTTGTTAGAGGCAGCTCTTTAACTGCTTTTAGATGGTTACAGTATTGTTCTATTCAGTTTCTTCCCTCTTCTGGAGTGAATTCCAACATTTTTTTCTTAGAAAATCATTTATTTTATACAGCTATTCAAATGAACTGGTATCATAAATTGTGTTATCTTATTTTTGAATCTCTTATGAACTTGAAATTATATCCTCTTCCTTGTTCATGTTTTATTTTTTGCTTGATCCAGCCTTCTATAGGTTTGTCTATTTTAATATTCTTTCCAAAAAAACAATCTTTTGGTTTTATTAATTTTGTGGGGTTTTTGTTGTCTCCATATTTATCAACTACAACTTTAGCTTTAATTTCTATTTCTACCTTCCTTTGTGTTTGCTGTTGTTTTCCTAGTTTCTTAAATTGTGTTCAACTGTATTAATTTTCAATCTTTGTAGTTACAGTGGGCATGATTGCTTCTGCCTACCTCCAGATATTTTCTTTTCTTCTAGTAGGAATAAGGAACACTTTTACCCCCACTCTTAGCCCTTTAGGTAGGACTGACCTCAAACCTCCCACTCTAGGAGCAGCCATGTGAACCAGGGCTAGACAACCAAAATATCAGAACCTCTGAATATACTCAAAGGAGCAAGGTGAGAAAGTGTTTTAAGGTTTGCATTTTTTTTCAAGATTTTCAAGGTGTGAGTTAGTTTTTTAAAATTAAGTTTTGAGTTAGCAGAGTATCCAAAAAAGGGCATAGACATAGAGAGAGGATATACCATCTAGGCTGGTGAGACATATCTGACAGTCCTCTGGACACACAACCTATATTAACTAATGAGATAAATAAAGAATAGTATCAAATGCAAGAAGGTCACAATTGGATAAGAATCAAGAGAGCAGTGGGTTAACACAATGGCTAAAATTTGAAATCCAATAAAGTAATTTTAAGTTGAAAGGTAAGTATATAAGTTAAATAATAAAAGTAACTAAGATTATAATCTTCACTATAAGAAATGTAGGAAAAATCTATCTGTTATAAATAGTTTCTGAAGATTTCACTTTAAATCACTTTGACATACTTACTCAAAGTTAGGGGTGTTGATGAACTTGGAAGGTATTGTGCCTCAAGAATTTGTAACTGAATTCTGCTATTCACTGCTTGAAAACAAGTCCCCAGTTCAAGTTCTGCATGGCAAACCTGCATATTAAAAAGTGTTATTTGGCAATTAAGAATAAAGTTTGGGGATATTTCAAAATTCAAAAACAAAGGGCTAAAGATAGACATTCCCAGGTGGCACTAGTGGTAAAGAACCTGCCTGCCAACCTAGAGACGCGGGTTCAATCCCTGGGTTGGAAGATCCCCTGGAGGAAGGGATAGCAACCCACTCCAGTATTCTTGCCTGGAGAATTCCCTGGATAGAGGAGTCTGGCGGGCTATAATCCATAGGGTCACACAGAGTTGGACACGACTGAAATGACTCAACATGCACACATGCTCTTTACTGTCATACAAAGCTAAGTGTTAAAAGAGAATGCTAAATGTCATGGAGTCTGTCAATATACAGTACTTACTGACTTTCATAAATTCTGATAATGTAAGTTTCACATATATACTGAACCTTCAAAATCAGGGAGACCAAAGACATGCAAATTTTAAAAAAATTAAATTCCTAAGCAGTTTAAGTAGAGAAAATGTCAGAGAAATAAACACCACAAGAGCACATTTTCAAAAGACTTAAATGTAGTCATTGGAATAATCTTTTCAAATGACTGAAATATGATAATATGATATATGAATATATGAAATATGATAAAAATGTTATACATGAAACACATCATTAGTTTTTCCAGTTGTAGAAATCAGAGGTAGTGCTATCAAAATCAGAAGACAAAGGATTACTACAATGAACAGATTTGTGGATTAAAAATTGAATTACTATGCTAAATAGAAGTAAGCCAATGACGAAAATTGGCAAGAAGGAAGCTAGTGAAAGTGGTGAGGCAGTAAATAATAAGGAAAAGGTCAAAGAAAATCTGAGGCAAACAATAAAATGAAGGAAATTCAGAAAGGGGTAGAAGCTAAAATGTGCTCTTCAGTATTGCTGACTAAGAGCAGAAGAAAGCGAGTAGTCTGCCTTACACAAATGAACCTATTTACGTGGATTCCAGGGTGCTTGGAGTAAAAAATAAAAGAAACATAGTCAGCCAACACAAAAACATTACTGCTCACATGTTGAAAAGAGTAAATATAAGATTAAAGAAAGAACATAATGTTAACAGATCTCACTAGGGTCAGCATAGATAAACACAAAAGTCTTGGCTAGTGTTGATTCCAACAAAGCTACAGAAGAGCTGACTGATACTTCATCAAGTGGTTTATATTTGACAATAACCCAGTATTCCCCAGTAACTGACACATGGATCAGTTAAAAAAAAGAACTTTTTTATGTACATGCCATTGACTGAATCTTGGATAGTTTCTAAACATGATATTCTGTAATGGTCAAATGGCCAAAATTGCTCATGCCTTAAGAAATCAAAAGATACAAAGTGAATCACTTTAAAGTTTAAAATCAACTGTTGAGGTCACTCCTTCTTGAAAAATCTAAAATGATGATAAAAGTCTATTTGGCAATAATTGCTGAATTCTAATAAATAAAAGTGAATGTATTGCTCTTGCTTTCAATAAGAATGGATTAATCTTTTTAGGTGGACTAATTCAGTAGCCATATACAAAATACCTTTGCTGATTAAAAGAACAAATCTACTGTCCATTTAAAAGTTATTTATTGTTTACAAAACACAAAGGAAACCAGGATAACATTTTTTCATTCATTTTTTCATTATGGTTTTGTATCCTTAATATAACAGATGAAAATACTGAAAGATGGCAAAACTTCTCTTAGAGTTACATACTGGTAGAGTTCATTCTCACAAAACACAGCAGCATTCAGCAGTGGGTTTAACCAAGGTTATTTCACAAATTCAATTTATACTCCAAGATATTAATTCAAATCATAAAAAACTATTCAAAGTGGTTTTCAACCTGACAATAACCAAAAACTTAAAATCCTAATCAATTAGTAGGTATATATTAAAAGCATTTTTAATGATCTCCACTCCTGAATAACGTATCATTTTTTTAAAGAAAAGAAAATCTTTTTTGTCCTTCCTGGAATGACTGTTGAAAGTGAAAAGTTCAGCATAATTAGAGAAACCCCTTATCTGGTGGTTTTTTAGAACATCTCCTTAGGGGGACAATACAGTGCTGATGAAAGATATTTTCACATATTGAGGTATATAGGGAAGTCATTCTGGTTTATATATGAATTAACTTGACTTTTACACTGATTAAAATAGCCCATTTGTGGCCTATCAAGTATACATTGAATATCTGATTTAATTATTAAAGCGAAGGGTGCACTGATCACAAGTAAAGAACAGCCATGTTAAAAATAAAGATTAAATGCCTCCTTTCCTGGGATGTCACTGCTGGTCCTCCTTCAATGATACGACTCCCTTCCCAGGAGCCAAGGCCATATCGACTTACTGTGCACATGCTCTTTCTTCTTTTTTTCAAACCCTAAAGGAATGTATCCTGACTTGTTTGACATTCTGTATTCTGATAAGATGTTAAAACGGTGCTGAAAACCATGCTTCTTCTGAGCAATACCTTAGTTATCTGAGAGGCTGTCTTCCAGGCTATAGTCCTCAGTTTGGCTCAAATAACACTCATTTCTATCACAGACTGTTTATTGATTTTTTCATCAATGTGGTAAAATTAAGAGACCTGGCTCTGGAATCAGAATGCCTCCATTCAAATCCTGATTCCCCAACAAAAAGCTATATAAACTCAGGCAAATGCTTCAAGGTCTTGGTCTCCACAATAGGGGTAACAAGAGCAGCAAGCTCATTAAGTTCATTGTGAGCATTAAATCACTTAGGACCAAGTTAGTTATATGCAAAGTTTCTTCAAACGTCAGATATTAAATAATTCTTCAGGGAAACCTTGTCTCTTGCACACTATTCAACACAAAATTTGAGTTGTCAACTATTTGTTAAGGTCAAAAGCTCTGTGGTGAAGAAATTAATAGCTCTACATGGAAGTTCTGCTGTTCATGATGTCACTGTGAAGGACAGATATGTAAGCGTGTCTCTTTCAATGTCACAATTAGAATATCAGTTTTCTTCTTCAACACAGGAAACAAAGCATATTATTCTTGCTTTTAGTCAATAATATGAACAGTAATATAAATTTACTGATCCAGATAGCCAAAAAGCCCTTCCTTCAAACCATCAATCTTTGCAACCCTAGCACATGGCATACAAAATGTTTATTTTAAAAAAAAGTTTATAAAAGATCTCTGATATGCAAAATATAATTGTAGAAACTGTGCCATAATCATTCATTCTGATTCTCCAAGGCAGATTCAGATTATAATGTCTCAATTCCCCAGAAAATACATTTGCTGAGTTATCTTCTCTGCTGCTGCTGCTGCTGCTGCTAAGTCGCTTCAGTTGTGTCCGACTCTGTGCGACCCCACAGACGGCAGCCCACCAGGCTCCCCCGTCCCTGGGATTCTCCAGGCAAGAGCACTGGAGTGGGTTGCCATTTCCTTCTCCAGTGCATGAAAGTGAAAAGTGAAAGTGAAGTCGCTCAGTCGTGTCTGACTCTTTGCGACCCCATGGACTACAGCCTACCAGACTCCTCCGTCCATGGGATTTTCCAGGCAAGAGTACTGGAGTGGGGTGTCATTGCCTTCTCCCTGATACATTCTACTAGTCTTTAAAGATTTAATCCATCAATCATCTATTTAAATAGTAATATGTGCCTTCTGTAAAATATGGTTGCAGGTTATTGTCTACTAATCTAGTTAAGTGATAAACTCCTGTCACAGTTACAAAACAAATCTGCTATACTTTAACAGAAAATAGTAATCTAATTTAGCATGCCTTCATTCATCATTTGTTCTTTCCTATCAACCTACATACAAATATTCAATGCCAAGAATATGACAGGCTAAGGGTACAGTAAAATATGAAGGAAAAAGATGGAAGCTCAGGTCTTAGTTTCTTTTTAAAATAGTAACTTAAATTATTCTGAAAGTGAAGTGAAAGTTGCTAAGTCGTGTCTGACTCTTTGCAACCCCATGGACTATACAGTCCACGGAATTCTCCAGGTCAGACTACTGGAATGGGTAGTTAGCCTATCCCTTCTCCAGAGCATCTTCCCAACCCAGGAATCAAACCGGCATGTCCTGCATTGAGGTGGATTCTTTACCAACTGAGCTACCAGGTAAGCCTAAATTATAGTAAATGCTATAAAGAAAACAGATTTGTATGAAAATAGAAAATAAAAGATCAGGAATAACAAGATTTTTCAACTCTTCTTGATTATAGTAATCTTTCGTTCTTTATTTTTAATCCCTAATTTCACTTCAATTCAGTGGTTCTTAAGCAAAGCTACACACGAGAATCAACTGAGTAGCTTGAAAATTACAAATGCCTCTGGCTCACTCCTCCCCAAATTCTGATTTAACGGTTCAAGTGTAGGCATGTTTAACAGCTCCCCATGTGATTCTAATGTGCAGCCAGCTTAAGAACCACTTCAAGTCACCTTAAATATTTTTGAAAACAGGTAAAATATAACTCCTAAGTAAACTTAAAATCACATGTAAGTCTGACTTTAAAAAGGGTTATGACTGATTTGTATATATGTTATCCTGACATAGAAGCTACATAATTAAATCATTAGGAATTTCTAGGCAACTTAAAGAGTATTCAGCTGGTTAACTGAAAGAAGCAACTATTGGGCCTCAAAAAATCAATTAGCACTATAGATAATCACGTCCTTTACAAAAAAATACCAGCTGGAAGATCCTCCATCAATTTATGGACAGATATAGTACCTACTCATGACTAAAACTTTCCTAATCTATTTCAAGGCAATCTCTCATTGAGTTTGGAGTTTATAATTCTTTCTTGCTTTTCCTATGTTATCAGCTACTTAAAAAAAACAAAAAATAATTTTTTAAAATTATTCACTTTTAGGGTTATTATGTTGAAGTGCCCTGCTGTGCTTGGTCACTTCAGTCGTGTCCAACTATGCAACCCCACGGATCTCAGCCCACCAGGCTCCTCTCTCCACAGGATTCTCTAGACAAGAATACTGGTGGGTTGCCATGCCCTCCTCCAGTGGATCTTCCTGACCCAGGGATCAAACAAACCTGTGTCTCCTGTGTCTCCATTGCATGTGGATTCTTTACCACTGAGCCACTGGGAAAGCCCATTATTTTGAAGTATGAAACATTAATAAAACAGGTATTAGGAGAAGGTAAGCCTACTGTTACTTTTCAATGGAGAAAGAAAAGCAGCTCTGTTAACATTTTATCAATTTCAAAAAAGTTAAATAATGACATAATTATTACTTTTTTACATTACATTTATGTTGTTATTGTTTGAGAGCCTTCCTAATCCTTCAGTATATTCTCGTGCTCAAATTATACTCCCCCAAAAATTCATCCAGTAAATAATTCTAAAAATGTGAAATACTTTGACATTACATATTATATCACTTACAGAAATTTTTGAAGGTGGTGATATGTCCAGAGAGTAATCCATTTCCTGTGTGCTAAGAGTTCTGAGTGACAGTGAGCATTCTCCAATGGTTTTCTTCCTGGGAGTTTGGGTCTGAATCTTAAATACAAGTCTCACAGTTTGTAGACTTTGGAGTTTAATAGAAAATACAAAAGTTTCCATAAATTCAATATTCTAAAATAAAAATATAAAACATGTAAATAGCATATTTTAAAAAGGGTCATATGCCAACACAATATAAGTAAAAATAACATTTTATAACCTAGGAAAGGCAAATTTAATATTTTTATAATAACAAAAAAATTTTTAAATGAGAATGGCCATGACTTGTTTTTCCAAAATTTATTTGAGATACTATTTGTCTTAGTTTCAGAAATCCTTCTAATTACTTAGGAATTTAGTCAGTATTAACACCAAGTTCACCGGAATACAGCTTTTTTCCTTTTCGAAAATGATGTTGTTCTCCATCTTTGCTTCTGGAGCATCATTCCTGCTGTTCACCACAGTTCTTCAACAGTTAATGAGAGTACTTCAAGACTCTCATGCAAGTTCTCTCTGTATGCAAAATCTAACTTGTTCACATTAACAGACTTGAATTACTTCTTTAAAGGACCTAGTCTGTCTAATGCTCTTCCCATCTAATTTGGGATTCAATTTATCTTTACTCTTTCCAAAATGAGAATTGATCTCCTTGATAGAGAAGACAAAGCAAAATATGAGTTTCAAGTTCTACCTTCTCCAATAATCTTCCACTCCAGGCAGCAAGTGTTTTACATGTGCAGACTATTTTCAGATGTTCTTTTTATTTTTTAAATCCTTGGCTTACTGTGAACTAACATCTTCTTGACACTAGACTGCTTTTTGATTGTAAACTTCCTTCTTTCCATCTTTAGTGAATCTTTTTGAAGGGGAGGTTTTTTTTTGCCTTTAGATATCTGGGCAACTAACATCAATGTTTTAGATACTGTGCCCAAGTGTTCACTTTTATTACAGTCACTTATATCTGTGTACATAATTGTGTTTCTGAGAGTCTCCCAACCACCTGAGTTATCGTTTTCTTTCAGTCTCAAACCATAGATCACATCAATAACACAGTATACATAAAATGTTTAATTTTTAAACTCATATGCAATGAGCTTATAATGAAGTGTGCTGGTTTGCATTCTGTCATAATAGAGGACTCCTAAACAACTTGATAAATAATAAATTTTAAAATATTCCATGCAAGTTTTAATATGAGAACATTTCCCCCTAACTTTTCCCAAGTTGGCTTAGTTTCATTTGAAAATCAAAAAGTTTAATTTGGGAAATATTCATCTAGTGTCAGGAATAAAACTAGAGTTAAGATTTATTTCCACCTAGACTTTCTACAATGCATATTTTCATAAAGTAAGATCCTAATATAATACATAAATTTTGGTTACTGCCTTTTCACTTATTAAGAACATTTCCCCTGTCCTTAAAAACTCTTCCTAAGCATTATTTTCATGGCTGCCTAATATTCTATCACATGCTGTTATGGTTTGAATAGTGTCCCCCTGCTAAAAGTTATGTTGAAGTCCTAACCTTCAGTAACTCAGAATGTGGCCTTATTTGGAAATCGGGTCATTGAAAATGTAATTTGTGAAGTTAAGGTTACACTGGATAGGTGGACCCCTAATCCAATATAACAGGCATCCTTGTAAGAAGATAGCCATGTGAACACATAGAGACACATGGAGGTGAAAGTCACGAGCTAGGTGAAAATGAAAGCCAATGATTAGAATGAAGCCAAGGAATGACAGGGATTGTTGGTCATCACCACAAGCTGGGAGAGAGGCATGTTAGAGATGGAACAGATTCTCCTTCAGAGAAGCAACCAACATTGCTGGCACTTTGACTTCAGACTTCCTCCAAAACTGTGAGAGAGAAATATTTGTTGTTCTAAGCTACCTTGTTTGTAATACACCAACCATCAGTTCAGTTCAGTCACTCAGTCATGTCTGACTCTTTGTGACCCCATGAACCACAGCACACCAGGCCTCCCTGTCCATCAGCAACTCCCGGAGTCCACCAAAACCCATGTCCATTGAGTTGGTATGCCATTCAACCATCTCATCCTCTGTCATCCCCTTCTCCTCCTGACCTCAATCTTTCCCAGCATCAGGGTCTTTTCCAATGAGTCAGCTCTTCGCATCAGGTGGCCAAAGTATTGGTTTCAGCTTCAGCATCAGTTCTTCCAATGAACACCCAGGACTGATCTCCTTCAGGATGGATTGGTTGGATCTCCTTGCAGTCCAAGGGATTCTCAAGAGTCTTCTACAACACCACAGTTCAAAAGCATCAATTCTTCAGTGCCAAGCTTTCTTTATAGTCCAGATCTCACATCCATACATGACCACTGGAAAAACCATAGCCTTGACTAGATGGACCTTTGTTGACAAAGTAATGTCTCTGCTTTTTCATATGCTGTCTAGATTGTCTTAACTTTTCTTCCAAGGAGTAAGCGTCTTTTAATTTCATGGCTACAATCACCATCTGCAGTGATTTTGGAGCCCAGAAAAATAAAGTCAGCCACTGTTTCCACTCTTTCCCCATCTCTTTGCCATGAAGTGATGGGACCGGATGCCATCATCTTAGTTTTCTGTTTTAAGCCAACTTTTTCACTCTCCTTCACTTTCATCAAGAGGCTCTTTAGTTCTTCTTCACTTTCTGCCATAAGGGTGGTGTCATCTGCATATCTGAGGTTATTGATATTTCTCCCAGAAATCTTGATTCCAGCTTGTGCTTCCTCCAGCCCAGCGTTTCTCATGATGTACTCTGCATATAAGTTAAATAAGCAAGGAGACAATATACAGCCTTGATGTACTCCTTTTCCTATTTGGAACCAGTCTGTTGGTCCATGTCCAGTTCTAACTGTTGCTTCCTGACCTGCAAACAGGTTTCTCAAGAGGCAGGTCAGGTGGTCTGGTATTCCCATCTCTTTCAGAATTTTCCACAATTTATTTTGATCCACACAGTCAAAGGCTTTGGCATAGTCAATAAAGCAGAAATAGATGTTTTTCTGAAACTCTGTTGCTTTTTCGATGATCCAATGGATGTTGGCAATTTAATATCTGGTTCCTCTGCCTTCTAAAGCCAGCTTGAACATCTGAAAGTTCACGGTTCATGTATTGCTGAAGCCTGACTTGCAGAATTTTGAGCATCACTTTACTAGCGTGTAAGATAAGTGCAATTGTGCGGTAGTTTGAGCATTCTTTGGCATTGCCTTTCTTTGGGATTGGAATGAAAACTGACCTTTTCCAGTCCTGTGGCCACTGCTGAGTTTTCCAAATTTGCTGGCATATTGAGTGCAGCACTTTCACAGCATTATCTTTCAGGATTTGAAATAGCTCAACTGGAATTCCATCACCTCCACTAGGTTTGTTCATAGTGATGCTCCTAAGGCCCACTTGACTTCACATTCCAGGATGTCTCGCTCTAGGTGAGTGTGAGTGATCACACCATCGTGATTATCTGGGTTGTGAAGATCTTTTTTGTCAGTTCTTCTGTGCATTCTTGCCACCTCTTAATATCTTCTACTTTTATTAGGTCCCTACCATTTCTGTCCTTTACTGAGCCCTTCTTTGCATGAAATGTTCCATTGGTATCTCCAATTTTCTTGAAGAGATCTCTAGTCTTTTCCATTCAATTGTTTTCCTCTATTACTTTGCATTGATGGCTGAGGAAGGCTTTCTTATCTCTCCTTGCTATTCTTTGGAACTCTGCATTCAAATGGGTATATCTTTCCTTTTCTCCTTTGCTTTTCACTTCCCTTCCTTTCACAGCTATTTGTAAGGCCTCCTTAGACAGCCAATTTGCTTTTTTGCATTTCTTTTTCTTGGGGATGGTCTTGATTCCTGTCTCCTGTACAATGTCACCAACCATAGGAAACTAATATACATGGTATACCATGAGTTTTCTCAGTCATTCTTCTATGGCAAACATTTAGATAGTCTCCAGCTTTCAGCCTATGAACACAACTGCCAGGAATACTTTATATATATTTTGTTTGCATCTTAGATTATTTCCATGAAGTGATCCAAGTAGAAACACTATGTTAAAACCTGTAGATATTTGAAAGTTTTTTTCCTTTAAAAAAATTGTTTGTTGAGGTACAGTTGATTTACAATGTTGTGCTAGTTTCTGATGTACAACAAAGTGATTCAGCTATATATATATATTCTTTTTTGTATTCTTTTCCATTATGGTTCATTATAAAATATTGAATATAGGTCCCTATGCTATACAACAAGACCTTCTTGTTTATCTATTTTATATATAGTGTTTTTAGCTATTGTTGTTGTTTAGTTGCTAAGTCGTTTCCAACTCTTTTGCAACCCCATGAACTATAGCCTGCCAGGCTCCTCTGTCCATGGAATTTTCCAGGCAGGAATATTGGAGTGGGTTGCCATTTCCTCCTCCTGGGCATCTTCCTGACCCAGAGATCAAACCTGCCTCTCTTGTGTCTCCTGCACTGGCAGGCAGATTCTTTACCACTGAGCCTGCTTACCCCAAACTCCTAATTCATCCCTCCCCAACCCGTTTTCCCTTTGGTAATCAAAACATTTGTAACATATTTTAGGTTCCACATATGAGTGAAATCATGATATTTATCTCTCTGACTTATTTCACTTAGTATAATCTTAAGGTTTTAATGTATATTGTCAAAATAATTGCCAAAATAATTTTATAGGCTAGAGTGCTCACAAAACTTTCCTAATTTTAATAAGCAAAAAAAGTAAAGAAAGAGAAAGCAATATGTAATTTAAATTTGTATATCTATGAATACTAGTGAGTGTAAATTTCTTCATGCTTATTAGTCATCTGAATTACTTTATTTTTAAATGACACATTCTTATAGAAGATAAGTTTCATTTGTATGGAAAAACAGTAACCTTTCAATCCATATCACAAGACAGAAATACAGATATATTTAAATTGAAATCTAGGATTATAAAACAAATTCAGGATCATAAGTCTTCCAGTTATGATCATGGAAAGTATTTAAAAGAAATTAACTACAATCATGCAATTATTTATCAAAGTCAACTGGGATGGGGGAGAGAGGATGAGAATAAGACACTTACTTTCCTTACATACAAGAAAAGTAAATATTCTCATCAGATATTACTCATAAATATTTTAGTGATTACGATTTTCTTTTTAAAATGCATCTTATATTGGACAATGAAATATAGAGTATTTTTGAGGCTCAAAATTCTTTAAAAAAGCAAGGCATACATAATCTGTAGTTTCCCCAAAATAAAACATTTTCATATTATAATTCTTTACATAGGTTAAAGTGACAAACATGAGGAAAACATAAAAAGATACTGAAACACAAACACTTACATTAGAGCCTTCCTTGACTGAAGATTTGAAATGCACTGGTTTGGGCAATGTTAGTATTCCTTTTACAGAAATAGTAGGAGTATCTCCATACCTAGAGGGCCAACTTAAATCTCTGCACTAAAGAAAAATTATAGTTTGAGTTTTACAAAGGACTCTGACAATACAAATATTTGATACATTTCTTGAGTTAATGACAAATAAAACTATAAAAGTAAACTTTAATCTACTGAGATCTTTTGTTTCATCTCCATTAAAATAATCTGACAATTAATGTTCTACACACCATATCAATTTCCCTCTTGAGAAAAACATGTTCTAATCATATCTAAAGATTTATTTTCTTTAGATTCTTTATTAAATACTATTTGCTGCAAAATACTATAGAACCCTAAATTCCAAAGAAGATACTGACCCATTCTCCTGAAGATAGCAACAGTAGATGCTTATAATTTACACCCCTAATTATTCAATTTTGTAAGAAAAGTTGGTATTAGCTACACTAACTTACCTGTAAAACTGTGATCCAGATCTGTTCTACTGAAGAATTATAAAACACTTTCACATTTAATCTCCCCCAGTCTCTTTCATCTCCTGATAGAGTAATTGTGTCTGAATTGTAAATGGACAAAAAGGTTTCAATTACTATGCAATCCTTCCAATCCAACTGAGCTTTGTACTGTGTTCAGTCACCCATTCATGTCCAACTCTTTGGGATCCCCTGGACTGTAGCCCTCCAGGATCTTCTGTCCATGAGATTTTCCAGCCAAGAATACTGGAGTAGGTTGCCATTTCCTCCTCCAGGGGATCTTCCTGACCCAGGGATCGAACCTGCCTCTCTTGCATCTCCTGCACTGGTAGGCAGATTCTTTACTACTGTGCTACCTGGGAAGCCCAACTGAACTTTGATACAATCCAATTTTAAGAGCACAACTGAAAAATGCTATAATTATTTTTTTAAGTTGTCAGTTTATTAAGATAAAAATCATACTTCAATGCCTTTACTGAAGTGCTGGTAGAAGACATGCTATAAAAAAAAAAAAACTGGCTTAAAATCTAATCTAATTATAACCTGAAGAATTTAAGTTAAAACTAAGAAACTTTCCCCAAATAACACTGATATGGTTTTAAAACTGTATGCTTCTAGAAATTCCCTCACTAATATACTTTAAAACAAACAAATGATATTTAATTTTTAAAATGCCTTTATGCCTGAACATTAAAAAATACATCATCTGATCTGAGTATTCATATGCAGATAACACTGCCAATATGGATAAAATCATCTAAACTTTTCTTAAAACCTTATCATAAATATATTCAAATTACTATTGGGTAGAAATAATTCCCTTAAGGATATAAAGTAGAATGATTTATTCCTTACCCAGGCTTCTGTTACTCCCCTGAGAATTTTTCCTCGAAGAAGAACTACTAGGCACACTGGACAATGAATCATGTCTCTAAAGATAAAATTCATTTTTAGTTAGATATTGCATATGAGATGTTAAGGATTCTGAAACTTATGCCTTAGCACCCACTCTAGTATCAAACTGAGTGTTAACCATTCTGACAGTGTTACCACTCAGAATTTTCCACTTTAAGACAGGAAAGAGGGAAAAAGTTTTCTCTATATGTGTTAATCAGGAAAATCTTAAATCCCTTACTAGGTAATACATGGCAAAGGCTTTGCTGTTTTTGGTTTGGTTTTGTAATAAAGAGGAAGAGATTACTGTTTATATTTCATACTTGGAAGTACTAATAAAAGTCAGAATATATTAATAATTGGAAGTACCCTATTACCAAAAAACCTATAAAGCAGTAGTTATCAAAGCACAGTCCCCTAGGCCAGCAGTTATCAGCATCACCTGGGAACCTGGTAGAAATACAAACTCAGGCCCCAGTGCAGAGCTATTGAATCAAAAATTCTGGTGGTGAGGCTTGGCAATCTGTATTTTAACAAGTTCTTCTAACAATTCTGATGCACATTTAAAACAAACTGGTGTTATAAAGAATTAATTCTGCAAAAAATTAACTCAATTGAGGATGATTAAGAATATACTTCCATTTTAACATATGCATATACATTCACACATATACATACACAGAAAAGTATGTATTTTCAAAATTCTCAATTCTATTTCAAAAATAGAACAGTGTTAATATTAATAAAGTTCTATATCTCAACAGAAATACTAATATTTACTAACTAGGTAATTATATTCAATAAAGAAAATTAAATAATAAGCATTTTAAAGTATACCATTTTAAATCCCAACTGCCTCAAGACTGCCTCAGTGCATACCATGAGAGAAGGAAAATTCAATTTTTTTAGAAAAGAGAGAAAAACTACTGTCTTTTAGTATTCAACTGAAAGCTTCCTGAAATAATACATGTGGGAAATGCCAAGTATTTATTCTTTAAATATTAGAATAGAAATGTCTACAAAAGATACATAACATGTTGTTCCTAATGAAACATATATGAATTTTACCATGAAAATAAATGATTGCTTATAATTAAATTCATATAAATTATTTACCTGAATGAACCGCTGAGATGAACTTGTAAGATCAAACATAGACTTGCTTAGCCCAGGGGGACTGGGAAGTCTGTTGGTCCTTAAGTCACAAACTACAAAGGGACATAAGAAAATCATTTATTTTTATAGTAAAGAAGAAGAAACACTGGTAGTCTACTTAATTACCATGAACTAAATCTCTACAGAAAAAATAGCATAAATATGTGATGGTGTAGTTGCTAGGTCATGTCTGACACCTGTGACGCCATGGATTGTAGCCCACCAGGCTCCTCTGTCCATGGGATTTCCCAGGCAAGAATACTGGAGTGGACTGCCACTTCCTTCTTTTCCAAGGGATCTTCCCAGCCCAGGGATCAAACCCAAACCCGCGTCTCCTGCATGCAGACAGATTCTTTAACGCTGAGCCACGAGGCAAGCATAATATATGCAAATCTACTTAAGAGACAAAGCCTTCCAATGAAGATAAAAAAGTTGTTTTTCAATTATTTTACTTTTGTTTGAAACAGAAACCAACACAAATCAAACAACGCATTTTCACAACCACATCAAATATCAACCAGGATGTAAGTCATCTGTACTAAAAGCAATTCAACTATTTAATGAGCATTTATTATATTAAAAATATCAATATTGAATTCCATGTACTGTTATATTTCTAGTCTGTATTTCTAGTGTCCTTTTTAAACTATAAGATCCTTGAAGAATGAAACTCTGAATAATAATGGTATAGCCTAGCACAGTGCTAAAATAAATATTTAAATAAATACTTCTACTTTATTTTCAGTACCTCACCCTGAATTTAGTGGTTGAGAGAGCTATATATATTTTTTATGAAAAACAGTGAAAATTTTGTGAATCGGATATGTATAAGATAGTCCATAATTGATACAGTCTCAAATATTAAACTAAAAAAGTCTGGTAATCACTTAGGCATTTTCTATGTTTTTGTCTACATTTCCAATCTCATCATTAAGTTTCCAAATTTCTCATTTTCACTGAACAGAACAGAAAACAAATAGTTAGTAAATTCTTGTTGTAGATATGAACAGATGTTATATAAAATATGTACAAAATTTAAAAATTTCTTTAAAAATAGGACAAACAAAATGGAACTTAGAACTACCAATATACAGAACTCATTAGTCTTTCAATTTTTACATTAGATATAAACCATAGAGAAGTTATGATGTGACTTAATCATATCACTTCTGAAGCCAGCTTTTCTCTTTATTTTTAAATTGTTTTTCATTTCATTTCATTCATTAAATTGTTTTTCATCGTAAGATTAATCATTTCTTCCAGAATCTTAGATTTAATTTGATTTCTACATTTGTTAAAGAGGAAAAACAAAAATTTTTTTTCATACCTGATCCATATAGTCTTGTTGCTTCAGAACGAGGAGGAAAGCGCCGACTCAAATCAGGTGACACATGCTGGTACTTATAGAATGGGTTATATACATCATAGCTGGGTCCATGCTGGGCTGAACTGGAAAGTTCTGCCTTTCTATCTCCAAAAGATGCTCTGGCAGATCCTGAAAGCAAGTGTTTCTAAAATTTTACAACATCCTTTTCTTGGAATTATTAGCTAACAACTGGTGCACCCAAGGCAAAGGGGAAAAAAACTTACTAACCTATAACAAAACAATATACATACAATATGTAATTTCACTTGCTATAAAGGTCAGAAGCAGAAAAAAAACTAAGCCACAATATTTAGGGATATGTGCTTAGGTGGTAAAAAGTAAAAACAACAAGAAAGTATGATTGTAACAACTGAAATTTTGATTAGAGTAACTGAAAAGGGGGAAGATGGAAGCTTTTGCTTTGCTGGTAATACTCTCTTTCTTTACTTGAGTGGTGACCATACATCCACTTTACTTTTACATTTTAGATACATCTATTTTACTTTATAATAAATCACAAATCATTTCTGTTTTGTTCCTTTTGTCTGTGTATATTAAATCTCACAATTTTAAAAGGGTAAAACAATAGATCAAATTCCTTTCAAAGTTAAGACTCACATTAGAATTAACACAGACACATGAAATAAAATTTTTAAATGTTTGAATCACCATCTTTTAATTATTTTTATCCTATCTAAAATAGAAACCACAGTATAAACAAATATTTTCTGAATTAAGCTGAACAATAAAACAGGTGGCTTCACACTGAGTTCAGAAAAGAAAAATAACATATTTGGTTTTGAAGTGAGATCTTATCCTCGTACTCTGGTTCAAATAACTGTGTACAATCCAAGCCCTGTACATAGGCAGAGGGGTGCCAAGAGGGAGGTGTGATCTCAGAGAGCCTTATAAGAAGCCTGTAAACCTTATAAGCCAATAGTTAAATCATTCAGCACATAAGCACTACTACAAAAGTCTTTTTATGGTAACAAGAGCAGCACTGTCAACAGGAGTAGCATAAAGATGACTCTCTACCTTTATACGCTATCCCTAAAATTGAATATTCTTATTTCATTTTTCCTTTATAAGTAAGTCAATGAAGAATTTCAATTTTCCTCTTAAAAAGATACTATATTTAAAGTTCAAGATTAATAACTCTCAATTTACAGAACCACAGTGCTATAGAACTAAATGTAAAGTAGCACAACTGCTTATACCTCTCAAAAGCCCAATTAAAAATTTCAGAATTTATTCAAATGCATTCTCTTAATGGATAGGTAGATAGACATGTCATTAAGCAAATATAGTAAAATATTAATAATCAATCTCTGTTATGCAAGCAGTAAGCTGCAGTTAAAATCAAATCCAACAGCAAGTACGCAATGCAATATAACAAATGTCAAATATCTGAAACATGATTTTAGTTATTATTGATAGTGGTGCACCCTATATTCTCAAAATCTCTGTATCAGCCCATCACTCACACATTCATACATACATACAAGAGATACGTATTTGATTTCTATAATTTGGCACCAAAAATGCTTTATTGACTCATTAAATAAAGTAATTTTCTCTCCAATATGCTAAAAATCAGATGGATTTATCACATCTTCATTGAGCCTATAATTTCAGTATAAACCAATTTCTCACTCATCCAACTCAAAAAGTAATGTTTTCCAGTGATACAATGGGAAAAAAAAAAACACAAAAGAAAAACTATCACATACTGTCAGGTAGTTATTTCTTACTTAGCTTCAGATAATGAAAATAATACATAAAATATCCTGTATGTCTAAGAATAGAGAATTTATTAAATAAATTTTATAGTACTTCAATATGATTTATCCTTTACTATTAAGCCATTAAAATTTTCATGATATATGATACGAATAAAACAGATTACAAGGCCATTTATATGGTTTACTCCCAATGCTGTTAACAAGTACAAGAGAAAGATCAATTGATCAGGGTATACTTTATAACAGAACTTTTAGAAACTGCTTTGGAGAGACACTGCTGATACGTGCAAAGCAGGTTATTAAAGCTGATATGTGCTAAGCCAGGCTCAGGGTTCATCTTTCCTTGCTTCTTTTTAAAAAATTATCACTTCTGCCAGACCCAACTCTCCTGTGTATGCATGGTGCTAAGTCACTTCAGTCATGTTCAGAACTTTGTGACCCTATGGACTGTAGCCCGCCAGGTTCCTCTGTCCATGGGATTCTCCGGGCAAGAATACTGGAGTGGGTTGCCATGCCCTCCTCCAGGGCATTTTCCCAACTCAGGGATCAAACCTGCGTCTCTTAGGTCACCTGCATTAGGCAGGCAGGTTCTTGACCACTAACACCACCTGGGAAGTCCAACTCTCCTGTTCAGTTCAGTTCAGTTCAGTCGCTCATGGGGTCTTTGCGACCCCATGCATCACAGCACACCAGGTCTCCCTGTCCATCACGAACTCCCAGAGTTATTCAAACTCATGTGCATCAAGTCGGTGATGCCATCCAGCCATCTCATCCTCCGTCATCCCCTTCTCCTCCTGCTCCCAATCCCTCCCAGCATCAGGGTTTTTTCCAATGAGTCAACTCTTCGCATGAGGTGGCCAAAGTATTGGAGTTTCAGCTTCAGCATCAGTCCTTCCAATGAACAGCCAGGACTGATCTCCTTTAGGATGGACTGGCTGGATCTCCTTGCAGTCCAAGGGACTCTCAAGAGTCTTCTCCAACACCACAGTTCAAAAACATCAGTTTTTTGGTGCTCAGCTTTCTTCACAGTCCAACTCTCACATCCATACACGACCACTGGAAAAACCATAGCCTTGACTAGACGGACCTTTGTTGACAAAGTAATGTCTCTGCTTTTTAATATGCTATCTAGGTTGGTCATAACTTTCCTTCCAAGGAGTAAGTGTCTTTTAATTTCATGGCTGCAATCACCATCTGCAGTGACTTTGCAGCCCCCAAAAATAAAGTCTGACACTGTTTCCCCATCTCTTTCCCATGAAGTGATGGGACCAGATGCACTGTAGATAACTATAATAACCAACCAAAAAAACAAACAAAATACCCTGAAGGCACTAGAGAGTGAAAAAAAAAGTAGTAAGGATTCTGAACAGTACTTTAGGACAAAGGGGAATGGCCACCTTATTTAATGACTTTTGGCCTTTGGGCAGACCAAAACTGGCACTATATGGGGGGGGGGGTGCAGATAGAATTCCAGTAGAAAATCCAGTCTTTCTGGCCTGAAGAACATAGGGCAGAGTACAGAGCAACCACAGCTGCGAAATAAGGTGGGAATCTTGGAAAGGAGAAAACCCCAAATTCTGTGACTAAAAGTCTGCTCAAATATCTGGCTGCTCCCTGAACCACACATGTGTGTACAGACTCCCAATAATGATTAAAAAAAAAAATACTAAGCTCAGATAGCAGCTGCCACCAAAGGCACAGAATCTGCCACACAGTACAACCAGGTTAATTGCCTGCTAAAGTTAAGGAAGGAGGAAGGAAAGGAGGAAGGGAGGAAGGGAAGGAAGGGGAAAAATAACTGTCAAGAGTAATATAACCGATTCCAGAGTCTCCACAACATGACATCCAATGTCCAGAATACAATCCAAAATCACTCCACATACAAAGAAATGGGAAAATGTGACTCATTCTCAAAAAAAGACAATCCACAGTATCCAAAGCTGGAAGACCCAGATGTTAGAATAGTACACAAAGATGTTAAAATTCAAAGAAATAAAAGAAAATAGTTCATGATTATTGGGGGTGGGGGCAGAAACCACAGAAAAATAGAAACTATGAAAAGAAGAACCAGATGTAAATATAACAACTGAAAAATATATCTAAAATTAAAAACTCACAGGATGGGCTTAATGGCTGAATGGAAATAATGGAGGCGAGAGACAGTGAACTTGAAAATAGGTCAACATTACCAAACCTTAAGAATACAGAGGAGATGCAAGCATATGGCGTCACCTGGAACTTGAACAGCTGCACGAGGCTACCAGAGATGATGGCCAAGAACAAACTAAGAGGGCAGACGTCCAGGAACATATTCCAAATAGCCAGCCAAAAAAGCTTTAAGGTTAAAAATAAAGCAAGACCAGCTACCACTAATCTTAACAAGATAAACACTGTGAAGGATGAAAAAGCTAACAGAGTGAATAAACCTTCAGAGACATACAAAAGGAACTTGCACACTTCTTAAAACTTTTCACTTGAACCTCTGCAGAAATAGGTGATTCCTCAGCAGTGTCATGAAAGCAAACCAGCTAATGTTGATGAAACTATAAGATTAGTGGTTCAGTTGTAATACACTGATGATGCATCAAAGTGCCACAAAAGAACAATAAATTAAATGTTTTACATTTTAGAAAAGAATAGAGAGGAGGGGAAAAAAATGGGGAAATAAAAGAAGCTTCATAGACAAGACAATATCACAAGGTCCAACATATGTGTAATTGGTGTCCCACAAAAAGAGAGAAAGGATGGGGCAGAAAAAGTACTTAGAGAAATACTATAGATCTTGATGGGAGGTTGGATCACACTGGTATATACATTTGTCAAAACTCAACAAACATACACTTACAACTTGGGCAGTTCATTTTGTTTAAAGTTTATGTCAAAAGAAGGAAACTATAAACAAATGAACTCTAGTAAATGATATATATACTTAAATATTTAGAGAGAAGCATACTGATGTCTACAATTTACTCTGAAATGCATTCTCCCCTTACCCTCAAAAGAATTACTAATGGTTAAGGAAATGGATAGATAGATATGTGATAAAGTATATATAGTAAAAGTGTTAATGACAGAATCTATATGGTAGATATACAGGCATTCACCATTAAGTTCTTTCAATTATTCCATATGTTTGAAATTTTCCATAATAAAATTTTGAGGGAAATAAACCATTGTGACTGTTTCAATGAACTAAAACAATTTCTAAAATATAAGTTACAGGTTGCTTCTTTTTATCTTCCTTAGTCCACTGGCCTCTAGAATATCAGCCAAAATTCAGCCAATGAATATACCTCATTCAAGTGGCTGTTTAGACTGGGAAGTGTATTTAGACTGATAAGTATAATAATGAAAAAGAAGGGAAGGGAGAAAGACTACTTCATTGCTTCCTTATTTCTCTTTACACTAAAATTTAGAAAATAATATTTCCTATATTTATTGACCAAAACCAGAATAATTTCTCTATTTTCTTCTTTCTAAATGTGTGAAGGATAACTGACATATTACAATTATATTACTCCTTTAAACAAGAATACTAGAGTGGGTTGTCATACCCTCCTCCAGAGGATCTTCCCAACCCAAGGATCAAACCCCTGTCTCCTGCATTGTCAGGTGGGTTCTTTACCACTAGTGTCACCTGCAAAGCCCTAAAAAAGGCCAATTCTACATACAAATGTGTTGACTGGTGTCAGATATCATAATGGGACTTTTCAAAAACACTGTGCACTGAATTCCTCTATAGAAGACGCAAGACATTTTAAAAACTGAAATGTCAAATCTGTACACAAAGATATTTTATATCTTTATACACATATAAAAGAGCAAGTTAAATAACAGCAATAACATTTAAATGCTGCATGTTGATTTTTAAATCCTCCCATTTTATTGTTTACCTTCTAGTTCTTCCAACTGTGAAGGAATTCCTTGAGTCCTGGGCTGAATATAAGATAACTTAAACCTGGGCACCACAAATGGTACTTCTTTACCATCAGATGGTAACTTGGAAAGTAAATAATCCTCAGAACAGCCAACCTGAGGCTTTACAGAAACAGAAGTCAATGGGGGTATAGAGATAGTAGTATTTTGACTATGTGATACTGCTGCTCTGAAGTCTCTTTCCACAGATACTGCATAGAAAAGAAGAGAAAAGAAAAGAGAAAAAAAAATCACAAATATGCATGGAGACTTATACATATAACAATCTAAACCGAACGTGCTTTGGTACTTATTTAACCATTTTAAAAGAAACTGTTGACACATAAACTACTTTTGGGTCTTATCAAGCACTCTGGAATCTACATTACTTCTGCCTAGCCAATATTTGAGAAGTTAATATACTACTACCAAAGTGTATTAACTTATCATAATGGTAAAAGCAGTTTCTAAAGAATCTCATTTCCACAAAAGAGTTCATAGATGGAAAGCAAGTTAATTTCGTAATTAATTCCACAGTGTTTTCAAATAAATACTAATCTAGTCATTTAAATAAAAATACTGTCAACAAAACAATTCTAACCTAATGGTTAATTTCAGCCTTAAATAAAAGCTACTTTGAAAAGAAGCTAAAGGTCTGCACATCTACAAAAAAATCTTTACTAAACCACAAAATAAAATTTACTTTGACCCTAGTATAATATCAACTCCCCTGTGCTAGCTTCTGTGACCTCTTTTGTTTATTACCTTGAAAGATATGTGATTCCTAGGCTGTGTGACTTAGGATGAAGTAAGAAACATCTAGAGCTAATCTTTATGTATAATTAATACTGTCTATAGACAGAATGAAAGCGCAACTACTACTCTGATGGAATTTATGAAATGTTTTCTTGTGAAAAAGAAGCCTTCATACTCAAATACACTAGAAAGCTATGCTTTAGACTAAGAAATATAAGAAAGAACCAAGACAAATAAAGTTCCAGTCATAACCTTGAAGGGCTGAGAAAACCCATGCAATAGCAAGGGAAATCTCCAGGAGTCCCGGATAAGTGTGGCTCCTGATAAAGTTACAGGCTTCTTCTCTATTGGTCATTCATTCATTCATGGAAGGCACATTTTAAAGCATTGTTCATAAACTGGAAATTGTCTGTATTTAAATGAAAACATTTGCCAGAGTATGTTTTCCCCAAATACTTCTCTCCCTACTTTTGCTTACACTGTTTCATCAACCTGTAACATTCATGTCTAATCCTCACTTTCTCTTACTTCCTTCTTCCCACGTGGCTTGCTAAAATCCTCTTCAAACTTTCATACCACAGGCCATCTTCTTGTGGTAATGTCCTAGAGTGTCTCTTATGTTTAACTCATCTTTCTCTCCCCTATGCTCCAAGGTACTTTCATACTAGCTAGTGTGCCTCACATTTATGTTTCTGACCCCCTTGTGAAGTTAAAAAATACATCTCATTTACATTTATATCACAAAACACCACAAATAAAGACATTAAATAAATGCTGAAATCAAAAAGAAGCGAAACTCACAATTGTGTTTTTCTCTTCCACCATAGAAACATCCTCTGCAACAACTCTTTATAAATTCTGTTGCCATTACAGTCAATCTCCAATACCCAGCAAAAGATACAAACTTCCGATTTTAATATTAATCTGTTGGAAGAATAGAAAACAAGTTAATATGATCATGTGTAATGTCACTAGGTATCATTAAATAAATCATATTATTTATCTTTCTAAAGCAAAATGAGGGCTCTAAAGCAAAAAAAAATGTTTAGAGGAAGATAGATTTTCTGTTCCTTTATGTAATTCTATATAATTTAGGTTCCTTCTAAGTTATTAAAATAACATGCTTAAAAATTACTAAAAAACAATTTCAATGCTAGATCTGGAAAAAAAATTCCACTCTCAATTTTCTCTTTCAGCTTATATATCTAAATCAATGTCCAAATAAAATTTGCAAGAATATATGGCATTCATAAAAAGTGTGAGAAAAATTTCACTTCTTCCAAATCAATTCTGTTGGTAATCCAAAAGTCCTATGAGGGCTAATAAACAACTTCATACATTATGAGTTAGTGTAATGCAGAGAAGTACACTAACAGAAAAATCTATCTTAAACATACACTAACACATATTCTCTCTCTCACACACACACCCCCACATACACATATACACACATATACAAGTACACGTGCACTAACTAAACCACAAATAAGATATATTGGAAATAAAGAGAGTCTGTTTTACATTTACCAGAAACATAAAATGGTATACGAAGCCAATTGCCCACCTTGGCTTCAGTGACTTTGTTCCAAATGCATTCTCCTCATTTACACCTACTTAAACCGAAATTTTTCATGGGAAACTTCAAATGTATATACAAGAGGAGACAAAATAGTATAACAAAACCCCTGCCACCTGGACTAAACAACGATCAATTTGTGGCAAATCTTACTTCATCTCACTGTTCATTATGTTTTGTTCATCTTTCTATACAATTACCAGTCCTTTTCTTCCTCAGTTTTAGAGGATAGTTAAATATTTGAGAGACTAATGCAATATCCATAATGTAAGTGGTAAACATTCTTCCAGTCTGTCATTGTCTTTTCAATCTGATGATGATGTTTTCTGCTATGCAAAAAACAGGAGTGGGAGTGTGTGTATGTGTATATAAAAACAGGCATATATACAAGCATACATACATATACAGGCGTATGAATACTGTACATCCCAGTAGTGTGTGAACGGAATCCAATCCTATCTTCTCTCAATTGATTATCCTAGTATCACAAACACCACTTATTAAAAATTCCATATTTTCTACACTCATTTTAGGATGCTGCTTTTATTACAGACTAAATTTCCACATGCCTTGGGTTTGGGTTTTATAGTTTGTATTCAACTGATTTGTATTCCTGAACGATTATCACATTTTAAAAATTATGGGACTTCCCTTGTGGTCCAGTGGTTAAGAATCTGCCTTCCAATGCAGGGAACGCAGGTTTGATCCCTGGTCGGGAAACTAAGATCCCACATGTTGTGAGGCAACTAAGCCCATGTGCTGCAACTACTGAGTCCATGTGCCCTAAAGCCCATGCTCTGCGACAAGAAAAGCCCTCAGCTGCAACTAGAGAAAGCCTGCATGCCACAACAAAGACACAGCGCAGCCCACCCCCCCAAAAATTACAAGGCTTATGTTTCAATATCCAGTAGAGCTAGCCTTCCATTCTTACTGGTCTTCAATTTCAAAATTTTCCTAGTTATGCTTGGTTGTCTGTTCTTACAAATAAACTTTATAATTTGTCCAAACCTAGGAATTAAAAGTCTGATATTTTTATTGAGATCATGTTATATTTACATATTATTTTAGGAAAAAACTGACATTTTTAGGATGTAGAGTCTTCTGATTCAAATTATCTGATTAAGTTTATGTTTGTATCTTTGGGAGTTTTTATAGTTTTCCTCGTAAGTTTTGAACTTCTGCTAAGTGTATGCCCATGAAATTTATTTGGCCAAATGGCACCTTTTCTTCCATTATATCTTGTAATTTATTTATTTTTTTAAATTTATACATTTTTTTCAAAGGCCCTTCTCAGTCTCAGTTTAGAGGATGCATTCCCTGACAAGCCGTATCATACTAATTTTTCTCATCTTTAAACATCTAGTGAATTTTTTTTTAAGTTTTACATTTTTCATGACATTTCATGACAACTGTTCTATCTCCCCTGCTAGAATAAAAACTTTCCTGAAACAATATTGCACTCACTTTTCTACTTAACACTCAGAACCTTGTATGATGCTGGGAATACAGCAGGAACTCAGCAAATATGTAGTTGATAGACAATGAAACAATGTATAATAACTAAGTTATATAAAAACTGGGTTGGGAAGATCCCCTTGAGGAGGAAATGGCAACCCACTCCAGTATTCTTGACTGGAGAATTCCATGGACAGAGAAGCCTAGCGGGTTACAGTCTGCAGGACCACAAAGAGTCGGACAAGACAGAGCAACTAACACTATATTAAAAACTCCTAACATGCTTATAAAACCACATTTCTGGACTTGTCAACTTGCAAATACTTTACATTAATTATGAGGGGAATGTGACGGTTAAAAATGATTACTGCTTCTGGGAGAAGAGTTTTCAAAGTTGACATGGTTTTGAACCATCCAAAATGAACTGGAGGAGAGAGGGATTCTTATATAAATAAGAATAATGGAGCTAGAGTTTGTATGACAGACTACTGGAGAGCAGAGACGAGTACACAGAAAGAAGCACAAACATCAGTGGAAGGTCCTACTTAAGTATTCAGTACAGTACTGATCAGAGCATGCATGTAGAGAAACTGCACAAGACTGAAGGAAGACCACCAGAAAACATTACAAAGACCATAACAACCTTTACTAAGGTCAGTAATAATGCCTGTCCCCACCAACCAAACTGGAAAAACCTCACAGAATGCTGAGTAGAGGACTCAGAGAAGACGTCTTGCCTCAGAGGTGGGGAATAAATAGCCCTATATTAAAGACTAGTCTGACCTAACAAATCTTAACAGCAAGTCTCAAAAGGATCAAACTATTTCCAAGAAACTTAACTATGTCCCAAAGCAGAAAATAATTATAGAAATCTAAATATATATATCACACAAGGTAAAGTTTACAATCTCTGGTTCAGTTCAGTTCAGTTCAGTTCAGTTGCTCAGTCGTGTCCGACTCTTTGAGACTCCATGAATCTTGGCACACTAGGCCTCCCTGTCCATCACAAACTCCAGGAGTCTACCCAAACCCATGCCCATTGAGTTGGTGATGCCATCCAGCCATCTCATCCTCTGTCATCCCCTTCTCCTCCCACCCTCAATCCTTCCCAGCATCAGGGTCTTTTCCAATGAGTCAACTCTTCGCATGAGGTGGCCAAAGTACTCTAGTTTCAGCTTCAGCATCAGTCCTTCCAATGAAGACCCAGGACTGATCTCCTTTAGGATAGACTGGTTGGATCTGGACTCTCAAGAGTCTTCTCCAACTCCAACAATCTCTGGTAGCAACCAATAAAAAATTACCAGACATACAAAGAAGGGGGAAAAAATAATGCAGAGAAAAAGCCATCAATTGGAACCAATACAGAAATGAAGTGAACAGTTAAGGACCTCAAAACAGTTACAAGTGATTCTATATGTGCAAAAAGTTAAGTAGAAACTTGGAAGAATCAAAAAAAGACACAAACCAACTTCTAAAGATGAAAACTATAATGTCTGAGATGGAAAAAATACTAATGGCATTAATACAGCAGATTAGACACTGCAAAAGAAATAATAAGAACAGCGAGACCCCAAATGAAATACAAAGAGGGGGAAAAAAAGAATGAAAACAAAATGAAAAGCATATCTCAGACCCATGAAACAATTGTAAGAAGCCTAATATACATGTATTGAAATTCATGATAGTAATGGGGAGGCAGAAAAAAATTTTTTAAGAAATAATACTAAAATTTTCCAAATATGAGACCTACAAAGCTCAGGTCTAAGAAACTCAACAAACACTAAGCTTAGAAACTATGAAGAAAATTATGCCAAGGCACATATTAAAACGGCATCATACATTCAATAAAAGGCTTATATACAAAATATTTTTTTAAACTATTATAACTCAGTAATGAAAAGTAACCCAATTTAAAAAGGATTTGGACAGACACATCTCCACAAAAAATATACAAATGGCCAAAAGAGTACATTAAAAACATGTTCAACACCATAATTCATTAAGGAAATGCAAGTTAAAGTATAATGAGATAATACTACACATTTGTTAGAAATAATGAAATTGCAAAGACTGACCATTCCAAGCATGTGGAACAAATAGAACCCTCATTTTCAACTGGTGGGACTATAAAATGGTTTGGCAGTTTAAGTTAAACATACAGCTACCATATGATCCAGACATTTCTTTCCTAGGTATTTATTTACTCAAGAAAAAAGAAATTTTATATCCATACAAAGACTGATACATTAGTGTTCACAGAAGCTCTATTTGAATAGCCAAAACATAGAAATTATCAAATATCCATCAACAGATGCATAAACAATTGGGTATACCTGAATAAATCTGTGGATTGGTGTCTTTCCACCTATACTGGTAGACTTTCCAGCACTAAATTCTCATTCATTATCTCTTTAAATGTGGTTTTTGCCCATTCTCTATTTCTTTTCTTTCAGGAACTCCATTCACTAAACTTTATTAACTTCTCTGATTATTCTCATTTTCATGTGTCTTAATCTCTTTCATATCTTCCATTTCTCTATCTTTGAGCTGTATTCTGAATGATTTACTCCGATCTATATTCCAGTTCATTCTTTCTCTCTTGGGGTTTGCATAATTGCCTAATCTGTGGTTAAACTTAACAAATGAGTTTTGAGTTTTTATTACTGCATCTTTCATTAATAGAAATTACATTCAGTTCCTTTTTCAACCAGTTTGGTACCTTTTCAGATTCCTGCTTTCTGCATATATTTTCAATTGTGATTTTTATTCACTTAAATAGAGCCCATCATGGTTAGTTTAATAATCAATAACTAGTAATTACAATACATAAGCATTTG